ACTTCTAAGGGTCGGTACGCATAGTCTGTGAACAGTCCACCCTTTTCTTCCTCTCCCACCCTTTCCCCACCACTCTCCTCCACATCCACAACTACGCCTACCTCGTCCTGCAGATCCCCGGTCCCAACTATACTACCAGCTGTCTGTGTTTATGTTCGTGCTGAAGGATGGTATTGCATTGCATTGCCTTGTATCTTCTTTTTATTATTATTGGATTATTCGAGTAGTAAGATGGGCAAGATGGCCATGGAAGAAGATGAATAGGAAAATCCTAGGAGGGCGAAAATGTTGCGGGTTGTGCTTGTGGAGAAGCAATTGCTTTGGTGTGGAGTAGGGATGGGAGTCAAGCAATGCATGCATGGGGAATAGACATATACATCACATTGCACTGATCGAGAAGAGAACATTTCAAATGTTTTTGGATTCAATTACCCCAAACACTTGTCATGGCCGTGATTTCGTGTTACATCAGGCTGGCCTATACAAATCTCAGGGTTCAGTGAATTGGTGCTTCTCTTTCCCTCTACGGCCGGCTTACTGGTCATCGGAGACACCAAACACATTTCACTAGTACAATGCCATTTCAGCCTCCATACCGCCTGAGAATACACAAATGTCAGTCTGGCGAAAGGGCCACCACCTTACTCAGCATCCTTGTAGTGGACACCCTGAGCAATCTCGCAAGGATCAGTGGCAAAGCTAATATTGCAATGCTCCCACTCCTCGTCGTTCAAGAGTTCGCGTTTGAAACTGAGGGCGTGGTAAATGTTGGCGAAGCGAAACTCCACGTAATTGAACTGTGTAATCAGTTAGTTTGGCTTCACTTGGCACACAGAATAGAAAGACTTACACCACGAGAAGTCTTGCCCTGCTTGATGGTGTCCAGCTCCCGCTTCACCTTTTCGGTACCGCGCGCAAGCTTCACAAGCAGCGTGTTAGGCCAGTCTTCATCCGCACCGACAGCGCGAACACAACGTGATGCATCGCCTTCGGCGCACGCACGCATGACGTCGTTGATAGAGTTGGGACCTTCTGTGCGCTCGACGAGAACGACAGTCTTCTTTTCTTTGTCGCTACCGTGGATCTCGATGCCGTTCTTGGTTGCCTCGTAGTACTTCTGGCAGCCCTCCACTGTGAGAAAACGAACTATGCCGATGCCGGAACCATCGGGCATAGAGATGGCCTCCATCTTTCCGCCCCAGACAAGAGCTTGAAGCTGATGAACGCTGTTTACTCCCCAGATGCCCTTGAGTATGCAGGTACGAAAGCCCGCAGCTGTGGATGTCAATGGGTTTCTTTCACGGTTGAACGGAAGATTTGTACTTACGATGCTCACGCTTCTCTGGACTGGGCCATGCACTCATGCCATTACCTGGGTCCTTCGAGAGCGGATTTGAATGAGGTAACAGATGCATCTGGCCAGCAATTTGTACTGCCCCCTTGAGAGCTGGGGAAGCGACATCGGATTCAGGCGTAGGCAGGATGTCCAGGACGTTCTTGCAAAGGCCGACAATTTCTTCCAAGTTGCCTGATGCGATGTGACCTTGCAACACCAATGCTACGCAAAGCTGCAAAACGTCACCCTTGTTGGCGTCCAGAATCTGCTTGACTGAGGTTGTCGTGAGTTCTGGTGCGCTCTTCTTTAGCCCTTTGACATATTGAACTACAGCAAAGATATAACGAGCTTTCAGATCCCGAATCTCTTCAGATGGTAGCTGTACTCCTGTCGCATAAATGCTGCGAAGCTTCTTCGTCACAGAGCGGAAGATATGGGCTGAGGTGTCTTTGCTGCCAGGTAGTGCATCAATGTACTCGGAGGCTTTTTGCATGTACCGACTCTCCCAGTCCGCTTCTGACAGACAGTCCGATTGTCTAAGAGGACTCTTGGTCTCGACCTCAGATGACTGTTTCTGTTGTGGAATTTCTGTTTGGGTAGGCTCTTCATGCTTCGACTGCGCAGGGCGGATGGGAGCATTTGCTACGAGATCACCCAAAACCTTCTTACCAACCTCTTCTTGGCTGAGGCGGTTTTCCAAAGCAAACATAGCATTGCCAGACCTAATCGGCAAGACGGCTTCGGTAGCCTGCGATATGATCTGGGACTTGGGAGTCATGAGACGGGTGAACATCTCGTCCAAACTATTGCCCGCTAGCTTATTCTGCCCAGGCATCTCGACTTTTGGCGGTGAATTCTCCGCGATAAGTGTTGGAGTTGCAGGCGCCGGGGTCGTGTAGCTAGAGAGTCGTATTAGCGACGCGTACACTTTCCCATATCAGAAATAGTGTTGTGATACGCTAAGAGCCTTTGACAGCGGTACACTCGTGTAGAAAGCGATATGATCTGATGGGATACGTGTGAAGGGACATACTGGTTTGCTTCCTGTTCCTTTTTCATCATTGGAGCAGGCGAAGATGACGTTGAAGGCGCAGGCAGGGGCTTGGGTGCCGTGTTTGAGGGTGCAGCAGCTCCCACGATCTTGACAGTCTTCTTCTTGAGCTTCGTCGTGCTTACACCTGCTGCAGGCTGAATAGCAAGGTTGCTGCGCGCATCTTGAGTGCCCCACGAAGGAGGAGGAGGTCGGCCAAAAACCTGCGACGCTTGAGCTGGTGTTGTTGGACGAAGAGAAGGAGGCTTAGCCTGATGTCCTTGGCTCTGGATAGATCTGGGGCCCTTGGGAGGCGTTCCATGGGTGTTTGCGTACTTGGATTGATCCATGACTTCGGCACACCCTGCTGTTGAGCTGGGCGTCGCGTGGAGCTGCTGGTCACAGAGATTAGCACCCAAAGGCACTTTTGCTGAATCTGTTTCCACGGTACCCTGTCCAGGCTTTGTAGACCCGATGGCTGTGATGTTGGTGTTGTTGGCGGAGAAAGTGGTGGGGTCCGAGTTATTGTTTACAGCCAGGGCTGGTGGGCGAGATTTGGTCAGTATGAGGAAGGAGCGTGGCCAGGTATGGAGAAAGACTTACGAACCGCTTGTCGTTTGTCGACTGGAAGATTCTCAAGTCCAGCAATACAAGCGTCTAAGCAGGCTTGATAGAGCTTCTCTTCGCTGGTCCTGAGAGGAGGCACAGATACAGCGGATTTCTCGGGCATAGGTCTAGCAGGACGACATGAGTGGCAGATGTGAAGCAAGTGTGAGCTTTTGTGTCTTTTATATGGCAATTGGATGGAAAGTACGCTGCCTGTGTTGTTGCCATAGTTACACGTGACAGTGACAAAATGTGCTTACTGGAGCACTTGTAGATGATATTATTGATGATGAGGGCCAGATAGGATGGGCCAGATAGGATGGGCAAGATGGGGTAGACCAGAATGGAAGATGAGAGAGAGAACATGTCTTGAATGCGGCAGGTGTATAAACATGTATTCCATTCCATCAAGGGAAACAGCGATCTAGACACTCGAGTATCCAGATGTCATCGCTCTTTCTCTCACATGTCACATGCCATACTACAAGAAGAGTTGACTACAAGGTGGCTGTGGGCATGGATGAGAAAGCACAAAGATGAGATCAAGTCCGAGAGGAGGGGTAGAGGAGGGTGAGGGCTGGCCATGCTGACTCCCTATGTGCCGGTTACCTATGCATGCTGTTCAAGGGGGGAGAATCGGAGTTGCCAACCAGCACTCTAGGTCTGGGGTCATCCATTAGGTACGGCTGACATTGAGATGGATAGTTGCATTTACGACCGAATGTCCAGTCTGCCTCGCTTACTGGTCGTACTCCGGACTCACCTTGGAAGGCACCTACCTACAAAGCTTGAGAATGTCCACTACCCGTCTTTCCAGCAACACAAAAACGAGTGCATGCAGACTGACTGGCGGACGCAGATAGGCGCCGGCCCGCAGACAAAGGGGGGGGGGGGGGGTCTCGCAAGAGGTGCCCATCCAGGCGCCGAAAGCATAATAGGTACACAGTCATTTTGGCCAGCACTGCCTCACGGCCTCGGATGTGTGGGTTGCGTCCCAGGCTGCGGTCAGACACGAATGTCATATGAGAGGGCAGTGGCCAAAGTGGGACATGATACGAGCATGCGAAGTCGAAGATTGTGAAGTTGGGGCCCGTACAGCTGGGGTAGGTGCGCAGTGAAAGAGTGACAAGGAGTCGGAGGAAAGCAAAAGAAAGCGCAGGGCCAGAGCGGGAGGATGGAAAGGATGGAACTGTATGTGGGGGGTGAGATACATACTGGATACTGGTGGGAGAGGAGGCCCATGGCCATCTAGGCTAGTGCGACGACGGGAGGACTCTCGTGCTTGTTGGCCTGGCCAGACAGTCCTCGAGTGCGACCGAGATGGGGCACAGGGGATGGTGAGGATAGTATGGATAGGCAGTCTAGTGGTGGCATGTCATATGACCATGGGTTTAGCGTCGGGCGACTTAGGCTTTACTCCAAGTGGTTAGAATATCCCTGTAGGTTTAAGTCCACGTCACAGCGGCAAATTTTTATAGTTATATAAACTAGCCTATAGTTAAGTATAAATTAGGGTAATTTAAGCAAGTAAATACAGTTTTTATTACTATTTTTTTTAAACATATTCTAAACCTATTCTTAATAATATATAGGCGTTCCTAAATACTATACTAGAGTTTAGTATAGTAGTACTAGATAATATATCTAAACTAGATAGTAATATTAGAGATAAATTTAGGTAACTATATAAAGTACTAGAGGAGGATAGTAGTAGTAGTATTAAGGAAGTAAGTAAAAGTAAATAGAACAAGTTTAGAATAGGTTAGTAATATATTATAGGGGTATAATATATACCTTACTTATAGTAATAGTTAAGGACTACTACTTATACTAGTAATTATTAAGTATATAGCTATTCTCCTAGTATACCCTTAATTATATAGCTAAGGGTAATAGGTATATAATACTAGTTTAGTAATATAAAGATAGCTCTTACCTAATAAGAGAAGAGGTGCTTATATAGGCTATATAGGTAACACGTTAAGAACACGTTCTTAAATTATTCTAATTCTAGTAGGTATAATACTCCTGCTAGTCTATCTATCTTAATAGGCCTATAACTTTACTATTCTTTAATAGCTAGCTAGCAAGCTAGTATAAATACTAATACTCTAGGGTAAAAGTGTGTAAGTATCTTAAGAATATATTATAAACGTGTTCTTATTATATTATTAATAATATATTATATAATTAGATCTAAACCTTAAAAAGTATAGTACCTAAGAAAATTCTATAAAGAGAACTATAAATAAGAAGCTATTATTATAGCCTTATTAAGCGCTTCTCTTTAAGGATTTATAAGGACTACTAGGTATCTTATTAT